CTATTCTTGAATAATAAAATAAATCATATTTTACTTCAAAATAATTTGGAAATAATAAAGATATTGAATAGTTACTTGTAAATTATCCAATTTTTGAAACTATAAATTTACCTTAATTAGAATTTATCAAATCAAATTTGAGTGAAAGTTAATAATTAATTTTAGAAAAAAATAAGCTATTTGGCTATATAGTAAAGCAACCCAAATCATTATACGGTTAAATATTTACTAGAGATAAATTAGATCCTAACTTAAATTATATTTTTAGATGTAAAGTCAACAAGAATTTAAATTGTCATAATTTATCATTTGGAATAATGAATACATAACAAATACATAATTCATATTTATATTCAGAAAATTGTTGCTTTCACACGAGTAGCAGTGGATTTGGTTTAGATAAAATATTAAAAGGAAAAAAGTTAAATGAAGTGCAATAAGAAATAAATGAATTAGAAATTAGAGTTAATATTTCTAAGAGAGTTGTATTATTTATGGACTATCCAAAATATTAAAATATAAACAAAGTTGATGAGTCTAAAATAATATAAGACAAAAATTATAGCTTTGGAATATATTTTTCTACTCCAGGTGATGATTATAATATTGAAATAAAAACATTATTCATTGACGATAAATATTTAGAAAACTTTGATTAAAAATGATAGAAATCAAGAAAAAAAATATAAGAATTATTGTATAAAATGAATTAATTGTTAGATAAATTTTAAAATAATTAAATTTAAAAAATAAAAAAATAGATATTTAAAATTATAAAGGTTTTTATTTATTTAATTTAAATATTTATATTATTTATTGCAAGTATTTTTATTTACAAAACTTAATATTTTATAACAGCATTTTAGTTTTTATTTTACAACTTTCAAATTTAATCTTATTTTTGTGAAATTAATTTAAAACAAATAATTTTTACTTAAATTATCAAAAATATTTAATTAATAAAACAATTTAATAATTTATTCAATTTATTGTAAAAATATTTTTCATGTTTTATTTTTATATTTCCCATTTCTAATTTTTAATAAAATAAGGAAAATTAATTAATTAGTGATTTACTTTTTTAGGGGGTAGGGGGCAGAATTTTTATGATAAAGAATCTTTGTTTAATCTATTTTGCTGGTTTGCTTTTTTCAAAACTTTAAATTGAAAAATAAGTTAAAAACCTTTTTACATTTTGTTATCCTTAATTTAGTTAAAACTTGTAAAATTAGTTCATAAAATTTGTAATATAATTTTCATATTTTTGATGGTTTTCTATTTATTTATGAGTGTTTCATCTTTTCTCTTCTTTTTTTATTATTTGATAATAAACAAGATATTACATTTATGTGTCTATTTATTATATAATCCAATTAATTTTACAAACATAAATGTTTTAAAGATATTAGTTTTTCATTATTTTCTTAATGTAAATTTGCCAATATGTATTAATTAAATATTTTTTTGTTCATCTATCTAAATATTTATCTATCAATTAATATAATGTATTTAATTTTAGAATCAAAAA